GCAAGAAGGTTCTTTCGCGCTATGTGGTGATTTTTAAGTCATTCAAAAATTACATAATTCAGTCTGATTAAGTAAGATGAAAAGTTTGGCTCAAGCAATAAGCAGATGGATTTTTAAATATGGCCATATACTGATGATGAAGTAAAAAAAAAGACTGATGTCTCCTTTTTAATGAAAAAGTAGACACAAGTACAAAGGATAATCTCCGAAGCTCGAAGAAATCGTGAGGCCTGAATTGCAGAGAATAGAGCTAGGTTTTAAAAAAAAAAAAAAAAAAAAAAAAAAAAACACACACACACAAAACATTCTGAATCTGCTAACCTCCCTCTTGGTGAGGCAATACATTTTTTCTTCAAAGTATTTAACTTTTATAAAACATTCGGTTGTAAGTTTTTTTTTAAATTTAATTTATTGGTACATTCTAGGTAGACAGTACAGTTACATTCATTACTGGGATCTTGTACCTTTACATGCCAGGTCTTGGTTCTCATTTTTTCCCCTTGTCCCCACCCTCCCTTCACCCTCTCCTCCCCTCCCGCACTTCAAACACTTTAATTCCATTTTTACATTTTCTCATATTTTTTTTCCTTTCCCTTATTCCCCCTTCCCTATCCTTCTCACTGTCCCTACACCTTTGGTCCTTTTCTTCCTTCTAAGTGAAATAAATAAGTCACACATATGCAAATACCAAATAGTTTCTCTGGTGTGAAAAACTAAAATAGTACTCAAGATCCTAACAGAAAAATTAGCAAATAGGAAGAATCGGTTGTAAGTTTTGATGTTCGGAATTACACAGTACCTATATTTTTCCCCACAATGCCTTAAAGTAAATCTTCATTTAAAAGACTTGGTAATGGTATCATGCAGTAGGAACCATAAGTTGGGCAGAACAAGGTTCTGTCTACATCTCACTACTTTCGTGACCTTGAACAAGGTGTGTAATCTCTCTAGGGCTCAGTTTCCTCACTAACAAAATGTAAGTCATAATACTTGCCATTGGAGGAGTACTTTCTTAGATTCTAAGTACGCTTACTCTTGGAGACAGCTCTTATATTACTCTGCCAGGTCTACAGTAACTGAGTACCAGATGTGTGTGTGTGTGTGTGTGTGTAAGGAGCAGAAATGTATTTCTTCACAATTCTGGAGCCCTGATGTCCACTTCAAAGCATCAGCATGGTTAGTTTTTTCCAAGGGCTCTTCCCTTGGTGACTTGTAGATGGCTGTCTTCCTGTTTTTTTTCACTTGGGGTTCCCTCTGCTTGTTCCTCAACACCAGTCAGATTGGATTGGGGCACCCCTGTGATCTTAGCATTAATTCCTCCTTCAGAGGCCCTGTCTTCAAGCACAGTCTGAGTCAAACACAGCAAGGCTGGAATTTCTATCGAATCTGGGAGGAGGGACCCAGCTAAGTCCATAACGCTTCTCCATGTCAAATCACATATATTAATTATTTGGACATATTTTAAAATAGCAACAGATATTTAGAGGATTGCAAGATAGTACTGAGAGATTCTGCATATGCGTGTATTTTACCCAGGTTATCCTAATAGTTACAGATTGCCAGACTGTATTATGGGATCAAACCCCCACTTGTAAATTGGTGCAGAGCATGGCTCTTTGTCACTTTATCGCGTTGATTCGCCAGCTCCCCTGACTGAGCTCTCCCACCCGCTCTCCTCCCTTGTTATCCCCACTCTTCCCACACCTGAAATCTACTCATCATTCTCCATCACTACAGCTGCTCAGGCAGGTCCTAGGGACCTCAGGGTTGGCGAAAAACGTCAATCTCAAGAGACCGCATGCTGCGTGGATTTATCTTGTATCCCTGAAATGGCAATGGCATAAATATTTTTAAATTTATTAAAGCATAACTTACACATAATGAATTGTGCATTTTAAGGATAGACTTTAGTGGGTTTCTGTAAATGCATTTGCACAAGCCATCAATCACTACCAAAACTAAGATGCACAGTATTTCCATCACCTCTTATTTTATGGGAAAACCCCTTCCCCTCACCCAGGGAGCCACCAATCTGTTTTATGTTCCTGTAGATTATATCCACTTTTGTATAAATAATATGATAAAAAGGACCTCTTGGAAAGAGCTTTGTTTTGTTAGTACAGTTTTGAAATAGATCTGTGACTGTAGAGTGCAGTCATCTTTGTATAAATAACATCATACAAATAGTTCTTATGAGTAGTTTCATGATCTTGGTATATATTTTGAATTCACCCCTGTATTTCTGAGAAGTGCCTCATTACATAAATGTACATAACCCATCATCCAATATTCTGTTGACTATTGACATGCATTTGGGTTTCTTCAAGTGAAATTTTTAGTTCACGCAGTAAGTGTATATGTAAATTTATGATAAATTAGCAAAACTTTCCAAAGGCATAGTGCACTATACACTCCTAGAAATAGTTCATGAGTGTTCCAGGTGTCCCACACGCTTAGAAAACACTGCATATTACCAGGTTTTTTATATTATTTTTATTTATTTTTAAACTGTGTCATTCTCATGGGTATGTAGTAATATTTAATACTCATTCAAATTTACATTTTTCTAATGGCCAATGACTCACAGCCTCTTTTCTTGTGATTATTGACCATTCATTTATCTTTTTGCTTGGTGAGGTGTCTATGAGATTTGTTACTCATTTTATTGAAATCTAGTTTTTCATTTGATTATTAACTGGTAAACATTATATAGGGTGAATGAAAGACCTCTGATGTGTATGTTATATATTGCACATCCTAGTTCAGGAGAGTTTCCAAAATTCAGAGCCATTTAGTACAAAAAGTAATTCAAACACATGTTTAAACTAATTCATATGCATGTGTGGCATCGGCTTCCAAATTGCAGATTAGAAATTGACTATTTAGCTATAAGAAACAGTTTGGGTCAAGAAAAATGTGTTCTAAGCTACATCTCTAGGCAAAGCAATGACTTTTCAAGAAGAAATGATCCATGCATTTTTAATTAAAAAAGTGAATCAGTAGACTTTGAAATGGAATTTATTCACTTGCAATAATTATCCACTTATAAAAGAAGTAAATCATTCACATCTTTGCAAATGAAAATTTCCAGTGAATTCTACTTCTTGTGGCTTAAGTAAAATCATTGTTTATATGAACCTGGGAGGGCTACATCACAGATAGAAAGCTAGACAAATACACAGCAATATCAGGTAGATCTTACAAACAATGCCGGCAAGGCTACAGCCTACACAGCAACATTTGAAAAAGCAAAGAGTTAGTTAAATTATCCTTCACACTCAGTTAAAAACTATAGAACCAAAAATAAATAAATAAATAAATAAAATCTTCATGTGATTGTTGGTAAAAAAAAAAAAAACAAACAAGGAAAGGTTACTTTTGTCTAAAGTTGCAGGAAAGAATACAAATACATTTCCCATGTAGAAGAATTAACCAAACCAGATTGCAAGAAAGACTACTGGGTCAACATAAAAGGCTCCAGTATTCAGCTGAGGAAGGCTTCTGGCAAATGCCATGGCCTGATCATCTATAAAAATAATATTGTCAATGCGTTACCATGCATCAGTTACGCTATAATCTGAGTTTATGACAATCAAAAAGAAGTGAATTAAAAATAAATACAAGAGAAATCTCCCGGCTCCTGTGTATGATGCCTGTGAATGAACTCCATGTCTACACATTTGTAGGAAACTCAGCAGGGGAGCATGCTGAGCGCTTCATGGGGGCAACTCCCAAACTCCCCAGTGTGTAATGACCCATATGGGAAAGAAAGGAGAGGAAGGAGATTAACTGTAGGTTAAAAATACCGATTCCGTGCCACGTATGCAACTGATTTGGTTCTTCACCCAAAATACCTGTTTGAAAACTCTGAAATAGCTTGGCAAATGTAGGCTCTGACTTTGATATTTGATGATGTTCAGGTTTTGTTGGGTTTTCATGGTATGTATAGCACTGGTTTTGTGATTTTGATTTTTATAGACCAATCACTCTCAACGAAACTGGAAAGCAGCCTTGATCTATTAATTACCATAAAAGGCATCTCACATTCAGATGCCCCCAGCCTCCAGGAGTGGGGCCCACAATGCCCAGCACACAGAGAATTTTTGCCACTAATTCCTCACCATCTCGGCCAAACCTCATGGGAGGTGCCAGGAAGAGGAAGAAAGTAACTAGATGCTTTCCATGGGGAAACAGCTCCTAGCATGAGTCTTCAGAATGTGGATATGACGTACTCCAAAATGTAGGAGTTTAATAACCCCAAGTATAATTACAGTTGAGAAACTGAAATAAAGACTTTTAGCGTTGGTTTTCCATAATGATTGCCAGTTGACTTGAATTAGTTTTTGCTTATGTGTCCACCCCAACTCCACAGCACCTTTGGCATTTACATTACATGTTTCAGGAAAGCTGTTTAGTTAGTATTTCAATATAGAAGGGGGAGGGAGGGCGAACTGAAGGAAGAAGGAAGGGGAGAGGAGGGAAAGTGGGGAGGGAAGACACTTGTGTGTTCTCGTCATTCTGCCAAAACAGTCATGGTTGGCTAGATTTTCAGCTCTGACCAAATGTCAGGAAAGAAGTTTGAGTGTCAAAATGTAAAATTTTATCTTGGATTAAAGAAAGTTTATTCTTGAGTTGTCAGTAAAAACTTACATGAATGAAAGGCCTACAAAGGTGAGCGTAATTCATAAGATTAACACTGTAATTTCTATATCAGATTTTCTGAGCTACTCATTTGTTGAAGTTAACTTTTTAGATTTGAGTTTTTGATGGGGCACATCCATGCTAAAATGCACCAGTGGCGCTCATTTTTCTCATCCCTGATTTATACTTTGTTCTTTCACTTTTAGTTTAGCTGGTTTGTCTACATTATTTCATTGGTGCATTCATTTCCTGGGATTTTGTTTGTCTGGGTTTTGTTGTTGTTCTTGTTTTATTGTTTGTTTGGTTGGTTTGTTTGCATTAGGGATTGATCCCTGAGGGAAAACCTTCCTGAAAAATACACACAGGAGATACAAATGCCTCACAGAAATGTGATTTTGTAGGGATGAAGACTGATACTCAGAAAGGAGCTCCAGCTGCCTAAACTGTGCAGCATGCCTGTAAGGAGGAGGAACCAAGCTAAAATTTCTCTGGGTACAACAGCTACATTGAATTATTTGAGTAATACCCTGGCTTCCCTACTTCTATGGAATAGATTAATGGAGTAGCGGGTAATGGGCTGGGATCCTTAATCCACAGTAACACGGGTATATGAAAACATCAGTGAATCTAATACCACTTCAAAGAAACTGTGACTCTTTTAGCATGGCTTTCTCAAATTAGGAAGAAGGATATCTGCTTTGTTTTATCTTTGAATGTTTTTGCTCCAGGTGAGATAGACTCTGTGAAAGTTCTTTGGTAAGTATGTATGCAGTGGGATTTAGTTTTATTTAGTTCATTATAATGTATTGTGGAACTTTATGGCTTTTGAAATTTAAGAAAATATGAATGATTGATGGGCTGTCTAGTCATGTTCAGGTTGGCAATACTTTCTGTGTGTGATGCATATCAGTACATTCTCAAACATGCTGTGTTGCTGTCTCTCTGCATGAATATGTATTGAAATAATTGATATTATTATGTTTACTAAATCAACATTAAATATCATTTAGGAAAGTTTTTAATTCAAAGTTTTTCTCAAACCCCATATTTTCAAAAAATGTACTTTCTTAAATATCTTGCAGACATAAATTTTAGTTTTCTCACAGTCTGCAAAATGTACTTATACTTGGAAGAGTAAGTGCTCTCTATGAATCCAGAAAAAAATCAAACTTCTACACTATTTGGAGGAAGAAGTCTTGATTACAAAATAAGAATTCCTCATCTAATGGCACCTGTGCTCTGACAAGAGGGAGGGCCCAGTCCGGAGTGGCTGTCACTAAAGAAGGGAGCTCTGCCTGCTCCCCATGGCACCCTCTGCTCCTGGCTGCCCACAGACCAGGGCTGGGGACGTGTCTCATACAACAGATACCGATAGAGGCTCTGACGACTGTGCGTTCAGTCCATCGTCAGGCCCAAGTCCTGGGTGATAACTGCTCTCTGACTTCCAACTGCGCTTCATGGGGGCCCCACCCTCCCGACCTAGTCCAACCCTCCCAGAACTTCCACCTTCAAAACCACTAAGTTTGGGGTGAAGGCTTCAACATATATATTTAGCGGGGAGGAGGTGCAAAATGCAGTAATTATATAACATGCTAAAGGCAGAGCGTTGGGTGATGGTTGGCTTCCTTCCTTTTCTTTTTCTTACTCTCCTTTCCTGCTTGATAGTAAATATTGGTAAGTTCAGTATAATTTGACCTTTTTGATATAATATAATCATTAAAATTAAATTACAACTTAATATAACACCCCATTTGATCTATTGTGGCTAAGGGGATATACAAATTGCACCTTCATTTTAACAAACTTCAGGACTCTAGGACTCCTCAAAACTTCTTTCCTGATGCTAAAACGCCAAATTGGCTCAATCTTTGCCATTTATTTTTCCAAATCAATTAACTTTTTTACCAGTGTTGTATTTGAAGCCATCTAATTTCTGTTTCCTGTTGATTTTCCAGACACTCAAAGGCACAGACTCATTATTAGGAAAACTATGACGTTACATAATCTTTGAGGCAAAGTAGAACGGTAAAGCAGTTGTAAGGGATAAAAAGGATGTTTCTGGAGAGTTACTGCTGGGTCATCTCTTCCCGCCTCCTCCTCAGGCAGTCAAAGCACGTCCAAAATGGTGGCAAACAAAGGTGCAGGCCTGAAGGCTGCCTGGGAGCCCACAGGGCCTCAGTCATGCGAGAGAGCGGCCTAAGTAGTGCATTCAAATGCAGAGGAAAGTAATATGGCAATCACCACTGGCAGCTCACCCAGGCTTCACTGCTATTAATCTCGAATTAACTTCACAAAAGATCAATTTCCTAGTAAGGATTTGGGGCTTTGAGTGGCGGTCTAGAGAAGAGACTGGCGCTTTGACTGACATCCTGAACTTACACCCTGATGATTACCACTTAGATATTAAAAGTTCTACAGTTGTGCCTACTAGATTTGTTTATAAGGATAATAATCACCTCCACGGAGGTTTCTTGGCACATAATAATTGAAAAAGGTGCAATCCTTCTAGAAAGTATTTGCTTTGGAATATCTGTTCTCTAAACACAAGGCCATTTTTTTTAAATCATATATTTAAAAAAGAAGTGACTGAATGACGTACTTAACTACCATCAACAGAGTTTTGCTTTATGAGACATATAGAATGAAAAACAGAGAAAATCATAAATCACTATATTTAAAAAAGAAGTGACTGAATGACATACTTAACTACCATCAACAGAGTTTTGCTTTATGAGACATATAGAATGAAAAACAGAGAAAATCTATTAACATACGAATGGAATTCATTTGATAAAACTATGGAGCTTTTCCTTAAGCTATTTGAAAAATTAGGGTTTATCTATCTAATATCAGTAAAATAATGGCCTTATGTCGCATAAATATCTTTAACATGATAATAGTATCTTATGACTAAGTTAAAATATTAAAAAAAAATAAATCAGCTATTTTGTGTTCTTTCTAAACACAGGTAAAGGCATAATTATGTAAATTCCAAAAAGGAATTGTCTCATATGGTGCACCGTAATTTAACTTCTGGAACCGATTTTTTAAATTTATGGTTTATCAGAAAAAGCATTAATTTTTAAATTTTTAAATAGACTGTTTCTTAAAGCAGTTTTACATACACAGGAAAAATGAGCAGAGTGCAGGTTCCCACTCACTTCCTGCCCAGGATCCTCAGCCTGCATGGATAGCACAGCATGGACAGCCCGCAGGTTACTTGAGGGCTCGCTCTCCATGCGGTCCATGCGTCCACTCTGCCACTGTCACACAGAATGGTGTAACTGCCTGGGAACCTTCCGTGCTCTCCTTATTTCCTCCATGTTTTTAATAAGCTGTATTCTTTCAAAGTCAACGGCTCTCAGCCTGGGGTGGGGGGTGCTTGCCTGTTTCCATACACTCAGGAGACTGAGGCAGGAGGGTCCCCTGGGCCTCGGCATTATGGAACACGCTGAAGGACATGAAGGAAAATGAAGTGTCCAGGTTCCTGAGGCCTTGCGAAGCATGACAGCTGATAACATATTGGGGCTCTGACAGCAGTTGCCAAAAAGGCATGGGGGGACAGGGTCTCGCTAATAACGCATGTCATTTCACCCGGTCCGTCCCAAATAGGATTCCTATGTGGCACTAACAGCTCACTCACATGAAAGCAGCCACAGTTTTAAGTCAGAGCCCTTCTGGGAACACCCCATAGACTGGTGGCCGAGGATCCGAAGACTGATTTCTCACCTCCCAGGGGCTGGGAGGCCACGGTCAGGACACAGGCAGCCTTGGGGTCTGGCGACCTCTGGTGGGTCACAGATGCCCCTTCTCGCTGTCCTTGCATGGCAGAAAGGGAAGCAAGCTGCCTGCCGCCTCACTGGGCTCAGGATGGTGCCACCCTTGCAGCCCTATCCCTCCTGACAGCATCACTGTGAGGATGCACTGTGGGACACAACGTTCAGGCAGCTGCAGCTCCCAGTGGAGGAGCTGATGGGGCCCCCAGTGGTCCCTGTCCTGGGGCCCCGTGGGCGTCTTCTAAGCTGGCACGGGCTCGGGAGCTGCCTCTGTGAAGCTTCCAGCCTGGAGCCCTTCCTAACACCCGTTCCTCTACGGATGAGCCTCGGGACCTCTCTCCAGAGCAGCCTACTTCCCCTGCAGCACTGGGCTGGGGTGGATCTGAGACCCAAGCAGCAGCAAGGCACCTGCAGGGCCCTGTCGGGACTACAGCTCCACCCTGGCCTTGGGAGACTGAGCAGCCCGCCGGGGCCCCTTGACGCTGAGCCACCTCCCGCCCTTCATCCCCAGCCTGGATGAGAATCTGAGATGAAAGTCTCAGGAGGAGGCGTGGGCGCAGGCTCAGGAGAGCACTTGTACAGCCCGGAAGCACCCTAGGTTGACTCTCAGCCCTGCAAAAGCCAACCAACCAAATAAATCTGCACAGTGACTCTCCTACATGTAAGGACGGACTTCCTGTGCTAGGAGACCTCACTGGGGGCCCAGCATGGCGTCACAGAGGCCTGCAGTCACCTACACATCCCAGGACAGGGTGTGGCCTGCTCCCTTACCTTCGTGGAAATGCGTTACTGGGAGATTAGCCAGGGAAAAGTGACCGCGGCCCAAGACCTACCGAGGTCATCCCCAGCGACACAAAACCGACCATGCTACCGAAGGACCAGGCCCTGCGCTGCCTGCAGACCCTGTGTGTGACACTGCCGGCCCGAGTGCCGCCGTCACTGGTCTGGTGGTGCCGCCTTCCCGGATGTTGTGAACAGCCTAAAGAAGCCTGTGCGGGCTGAGCTGGGAAGCTGGGAAGGGCCCCGGAAGTGGTCTCCAGCAGGACTGAGGTACCCCCACCCCGCCATGGGCAGTGCCAGGGCATAGTCTGTACCAGACCCTGAGCAGTGCCCCACGTGTGCAGGGTGGGATGGGTCCGGAGTCAGCACTCTTGATGCCGCATGATCAGGTGGGGTCCACTGTGCAGCCTGAGCCATAGGTTTCCTGCCCTGGCCTTATGGGCACCCAGCTCACAGGCACTGAAGTCCAGGGACCAACCCCCTGTCCCCAAAGGCTGTGTGCCCAGCAGACAGGAGGCCCAACAGCAACCTCATCTGCCTGCACTTTGGGCGAGGAATGCCCCCTGTCACTGGGACAAGTGCCTGAGAAAGTCAGCTTGGGGAGGAGAGGTGCAGTCTCTCCCTGGCTTTGAGGTTTCCCTCCATGGGCTGCGGTTCCACCCTTTCAGGCTGGTTTGCAGCCATAAAACCATGATGAGCAGCAAGAGGAAGAACAAAGCTGTGGTTACTCAACAAAATGCTTGAGTTACATCTAGAGAAATATGCCCTCAACCCTTAAGTGATATAAAACCTTTAGGAAACATAAGGCTATATACTTCTTTGGGTCAAATAAAGCTACATTTTGAAGGCTTTTTATCTAAAGTCTAGCACATCTATTACTTGGAAGAAATCTGTGTTCGAGATGTTTCACTGTACACAAAGGCGGCTTGGGAAGAAGGAAAAGTAGATTCCATAGATGGAAGAGATTTGAGAACATCCTTCACCTGGGTCTTCCAAACCTAGGCTACCAGAGACCTCCTGGGTTCTTGTATTTTCATTAAAATTATTTTTTTGAGAATCCTTGTTCTTTTCAGTGAATGTACATCTTCTATTAGAACTGTTCCTCATCCCTAGGAAATCACCTGACAGAGTTGACAAAATACCCCTACCCAGCTTTATTCTGTCCTCCTCCAAAGTTTTCAAAATTATTGAAATGTTACAGTGATTCCCCATATTGGATAAGTTATGAACTTCTTTGTGTGACTACATTTAATTAAAAAGTGACTGGTGAAATTTTTATACACTTGCCTGCATACTTACTATTTTGTGTGACAAGTATTTTGCTTAAAAATTATGTCCTTTGGCTTTCCTTTGCTGAAAGCTTACTTTAAGAATAGATCCTCTACTCTACACCTTTACCTCACAGTTTTACAGATTTTAAAAAACTTAGCACTCACCTCAAGACCACAATGTTAAATGAAATAAATCAGACATGCAAATATGAAAATCACACGGCTTCTCTCATATGAGAAACCCGAAATGCAAATAAATAACAAAGTGAAGATGAATCACAGGAAGTAGGGAGATAGCTCTTTCTCAGTGGGGAAATTGAGAGATGGAGGGCAGAGAGCAGAAGGGGATAAAAACAGAATGAAGATGTGTTCTGTGCATGTACCAGCATTATGCACTGCACACGTGCCCCAATGAACATTTAAATGTAAACCTCAATATGATAAACTACTCTCAAAATGGGCAATGTGCCCTGTCGTCTTCACTGATTGAACACAAATGAAGAACAGTGAATATCTGTTTAACAATTGGTGCTTTGCAGAATTAAAAAATACTAAAAGTAATTGCATTTGTCACCCATTTTTCCTAAGGATGACTCACTAGGTCGAAAGCTTTCATTATTTACTATAATGAAATATATTTTATCTGGAACAAAAACAGTGTGTTAAAGTTGATGCCTTAATTTTCTGTCACAATCTTTTAATGTGATGGTGTTGTGCTGTACAGTTTCATGTAGTCTTTGAATTTATTGAAAATGGTAAGGATTATTTTTGTTTTCTATAAGATGATTATATTTGATTTAGTGATTATTAGATGAATATTTGTATGCTGAGCCTAAATATCATATAACAATTTTAGTATAAAATGTATAAATATAGTACAACTATAGTATAAAATTCAGAAAACTGAATTTTAAATCATTATATTTAACTTCAAATTGTTTTTTTTTTTGCAAAACAGACATGCTTAGACGATGAACTAATTTTTATTACTAATAGAAGAACTAAACATATATTTTACACCAAGAAACCAAATTCAGTAAACATTTTTATTTTACAAAGATACCTTTAATGAAGACATAAAGTTTGACCTCAGGATGCCACCAATTAGGCGCTGTAACTGGCATAAGCTGGCATATTTTATATACTAATTGCCCTGCACAGATGCAGACCTTCTTCTAGATTTTAACAGAAATATCTTAAAGATTATGTAACAGTTAATGTAGAAAGTTTAATTTTTTAAAAGAAGTTAGATATTACTGTGGAGTTGTGCCGTGACTAGCCTATAGTTTGGTTCTGAAAATGTTTTGTACTTTCATCCATTTCATTTGTCCTTAGGCAAATATCTATTTTATACCTACTGTGTTTCCCACTCCCCTCTATCATGAAATTTACACTCTAGGTGACAATGTGGACCATAGACAAATAAACAAGTTCACATATATTATAAATTTAGAAAGCATTCAGAGCTATGAAATGAGTCAACAAGTGGTTAGAGCTGTGTAAAACAGCAGTGCAGGAGAACAGCCAAGGGTGAAGATTGAGCTTTAGGGTAGCAGAGACACAAACCAAGAAGGCCAATCAAAGGTGATCTAAACAAATAAGAGTGAGAGACAGATTTACGACAGCTTCTTGGGGTTTTTTATCAGGGTCGTGAAGAACATGATTACTTTCTCTAGCTCTTAGCATGCTGATACGGTAATGGTTGTTTAGATGAATAAAATATAAAAGAATAGTAGTGATGTATTGAGATTCCTCTATGGTTTCTGAGAACCACTTGTGAAAGTAATCAGTGATAACTTTCATATCAGTATCCCAGCTTTTGCAATTTAATCCTGGACTTGTGCCAACAAAATCTGCATACAAATTGTCCTTCAGCATTGTATATAAATAATGTAAGTCACATGAACTAAAAAACATCTTTCTAAAATAAATTTTGGCAAAACATACTTGAAAGGAGAATTCTGGGATTTCTGTTCCAATTTTTACACTGTAGCCTGGTTTTAAGGGAAATGTAAGATCCATTGAGAAGAAATAGACTCTGACAATGCCAGTCCCATGAGTAGAGTGGGTTCTTTTCCTGTTCACTTCTTTTTTGGTCATCCACCCAATGACATGTTTGTTAATTCAGTTTGTTTGTATCTCTTTTCTTATTTCTGTTGCAAAACTCACAGTGTGTTGTAAAACAAACAAATAAAACGAGGAAACTGTACATGTGGTCTATGGGGTTGGTACTCCCCGACAAACCAAGTGAAACAAAAGAATGGCATCTGTGTTAGTGTGTGCCCTCATTTTCTCAATCACTTTGGTGGAAATCTTAGCAAAATAGTTAATTTTCTCTGACCAAATTCAAATCGTCTCAGCCTCCAGCTCCTGTCCTCTGTATGTGTGTGTGGGGGGGGTCCTCAGACCACACTCAACATGTCTCATGAATGTTCACCTAAAGCAGGGCTCCCAGGCCTGCCTGTGGCCCAGTGGCACACCTGCATAAGTGACACGTCTCTGCAGGTGGAGGCATTGGACGGGAGCTTCCTGCACCTTTGCCGAACAAGCAGCCTGATACGTCTGAGAAATGCCTCCACGCAAAGTCTACCACAAACAGGATAGCTCTGCTGTGTGCATTTAGAAAACATGAGTTCATCTCCAAAGTGCTGTCTTCATTTATAAATTAAAACCTGACCCTATTTACCATATATAGTTCTCACGTTGGACAAAGACAGGAATACATGTTAAAAACCTTCGAAAGAAATATTCATGGCTATTTTCTATACACAGGTAGCAGTGTTGTCATTAATCAACACTGAGTGAATGAAATTTTAAATATCCTGATTTTACTAATCTGAGCCTCACAGTCTGTATTCTACACTGACGAATTTGATGTAAAAATCATTCCTTAAATGATACCTTCTCCTCCTATCCAGGCAACTCCTTCTGCACCATTCTTCCCGTCCGCCCTGCCTGTCCCTTTACTAGCTCCTTGCAAGCAACATGCTGCGCTCTCCTTCTGACGGTCAATCTTTGCAGACTCACATGTGGGTGAAGTCGCGTGATATGTTTCTTT